CACATCACAAAACCATTCTACAAAAAAATTAGCCGAATTAAAATAATGAAATCTTAACCCATCTACTATTTTATTATCATTCGTTTCGACATTTACAAAATATTTTTAAAAAATAAAATATTCGAGAAACTTCGAACAATTTCTTCGCAATGAAACGAAAGATCATTAAATCCAATTTTGCATTTTGTATAAAAATTCTAATTTCGAATATATATATATATATATAAGCGATTTATTCGATGCTTTAACGATAATAAATTATTCTTAACTAACTCATCGAAACGAAATCTGGGTAACTGGACGTTAGAAGTTGCTGATATTTTACGGATCTTACCGATCCGCGCGGTACACATACGCATATATCGTGCTCGGTGTAAATCCCGATTACGCGTTACAAGGCGCCATAAAATTTTTATCCCTTTATGACGCGTATTACGAAGAAGATTTAAAATCGTAAAAAGTCCGAAAGCTTTCCCCTCCCCTCTCGCCTCGGATGTAACCGTCGAAATCTCCTCTCATTACGTTCTCCCGTATTATACTTGCACCCATTGTCTTTGGATAATATTCCTCTGGCCGAGGCAGGAAATTCCCCAAGCATACATTACGAGCGCTCGTAAACGACCACCATTTCGAAGTCGTCATCCGAGGTAAGTTGGAACGCGTATACGTTGGTATACCGTATACTGGTAATTCGCTGGTTAACGTCTCCCTTCGATTTCCTCCTAGAAAATCTTCCTAATTGTCCGCGATACGATACCATTTGCGAAACGATGCCTGAAACACCGAAATTGTGTCGAGTACCTACTGTATACTCCAAACGTGCACGCTCATCGAATTTCACTTTTCCACGCGTCCTTTCATATTCCATGCATACGTACTTGGCGTTTCCGGTGGAAACGAGTCTCGCGGAAGAAATGAGAAACTGATCGGTTGACACGAGGAACACGCCTATTTTTAACGCGTTTTGGATAATATATATATCCAATTGTGTGCGACAGAGGAGGGATAAAACTATCTGATCTCTTAAAAATAGCCATAAAATTCAGACAATAGTTTAATTTAATAAATGTAATTTTATATTATTCAAGTTAAGACGTGATAATTGTATATATACGAATAATAACTTATTTTGAGTTTATTCAAATTACATAGCTCTTGTACTACGTTACGTGTGACATCAGGACAATCAACGAAATCTGTTTAAAGCGGAGATAGGCGAAGAATCTCTCCTCTTGTTCCTGTTCCTTGTCTTGTTTTCAACGAGTATACTCATACACACACCGAACGAATGGAGAAGGAAGGATCGGCAACGACTCGAGCAAACTTAAAAAGACTCTGCAGTAGAGTCTAGTGTTGCCATTAGATTTCGTAGGCTCGTTCGGATGGAGAGCCGCAGTAGCGCAGGATGCGCAGGTGCACTGCCAGACTTTCGTGCCATTTTCCTCCCCTGTCACGGGGAAAAGTAAAGAAAAGAAGCCTTGGCATTTTCTCGAGCGTGGCCGCGGTAACGCATACGACCCTCCCGCTATCTCTCTGCCCCCGTGGCCGAGGAGAGTGGTGGGTTGTGCGCGAGGAGAAAAAGTGTGCTCACCTACGTTCAACGACCGTAGTACGTTGCCGCAGTTCCACGACCGTATTTACACGAAGGAGGAAGGGGAAGGAGGAGGAGGAGGAGGAAGGTGAAGGGGAGGTGCGTTTTAGTTTTGCATTCGTCCGCGGGGAGGTGTGGCGCGGCTTCGAAAGGGGATCGTGGGGGGTTGGGATGGAAGAGGCGATGGAAGAGGGAGGGGGAGGGTGTCTAACCGCTTCAGACGGGGGTAACAAGGGGATGGAGAAGAGAGAGGACGATATGGGTGAAGGGTGGGTGAGGCGGAGGTGGAGGCACCATCGGGGTCCCATGTGCCTGTCACGGTTTTACAAGTCTATAAAAAGAGGAATTTCAGACTGAGTTAAATATTGCCGCCACCCCTCGCTGAATTTCAAACGCGAGCACACGCACGCACCCCCTCTCCCTCTCTCTCTCTCTCTCACCTTCTTTCCGTGTACGTGTATAATAAAGGAAAGGGACACACACGTGTTGTGCTCGTGTACTTCCTCCCAGGTACGATAAGCGAAACTTCTTCCTACCGTTATTTATGCGATCATCGGCCGTTGATATATCCAATATTTCGGTGAATTTCGTTTTGATTTATGGAAAAGTTATATATATATAAGTTTCTATAAGATCGGTGAATAAATATGAGAAATAGAGAAGGAGAGGTTCTTAGAGGAGAAAGTTTCGTAGTGATCCCCTAGACTGCGTTGTATAATTTCAAGTTATTCAAGTAAGGGAGTAGATAGGACAAATTTTGAGAAATTTCGAATTAGATATCTCTCAAATTTTATGCGTTTCTCACCTAGAGGCGTCATAGTCGAGGAGGGACGAGTGGGCAAATTTAATTAAATTAAATCGGCTCGTAACGCGTAATATAATTTTCTGTCTATCTCCTTCGTCCTTTGTCATATCACCCTTACACAAACACCTCTTCCCTTTCGTGAAATTTATACGATAATTATAATATTTCCCTTCCTTTAAAAGGAATGTTGACCGCGCCTTGCTCGATATATTATTACCGATCTTGTCGGGCCGAATCATCCGGATAAGTAAATACCATCCGCTGCTACATTTGCGAACCTACTTGTTTGCAATTAGCCAAATGGAACGTATATTTAATTATAATAAGTTTTCCGAGTTAATTGAAAGTACTTGCTGCTATAATGAAATTTTTCCGCGTGTTTCGCGCACGCACAAAAGACGGGAATTAAACGAGACATCAACGTCGTTTTGAACGAGCGAATATTGAAAAGAAAAGGGAGGAAACGGAGGAGGAGTTTTCGCGCAAATGGTTATGATCTCGGGTCGAGAATCGGGAGGAGCTCGAAAGAAATATTTTACACCGCCGTACAATCCGCCGTTTAATAGTTTTCAATAACTCGAGGGAGGAGGGGAGGGGGAAGTAGAAGGATTTGGAACCCGTATCGCGTAATAAAACACGAGGAGGAATAAAGCAAAGTTATTCGAGAGGGTAACTTCGAACTGGATCGTTTTCGCTGAAAGATATCTGGATATTCCGGGAGAACGTAGAAATTCGTATTAATTTCTTTTCTTTCCTTTTTCCCTTTCCTTTCCTTTTTTTCTTTTTCTTTTTTTTTTTTTTTTTCGTAAGCACAGGCAACGAAAATCCATACACGGAAAGGAAGTAGTTGTGACGTACACTGGTCCACGCTTCCCTCCGAAGGTAGGGGGGAAACGGAGAGCGAAAGAGCTTACCAAGTGACGTACGTTTAATGCCTAACTACCCCTGTACCGGACAGCTCTTATGCGCAGAAATTATAGCACGAATACGTGAAACTGTTACTTCGAGTTCGTACGCCGTAATTTCTCCGATTCATGCGGATACCTGCTCTGTGGAATTCCACCTGATAACTCATCCTTTAAATCATTGTTCCGGGGGAAATCGAGACGAGATATCTCTGAGAACAATTACACTTTGCGACCATTTTGATTCCCCATATAATTTCGAGTTTCGTTTATTCGAGTGACATCCTTGAGTACGAGTTTCTTTCAAGTGAAAACGATTCTTGAAACGAAATGGAAGAAATTCAAGATATATATATATATATATATA